GGTAGTGGTGGTGGTGGTGGTGGTATATAGACGCCATCTGCTGGCGATGATGATGAGGGTCTCGACGACAGCGGCGGCGGCGGCGGCGACGACGACGACGACGATGATGATGCTGCTGCTGCTGCTGATGATCATGATGACGATGATGATGATTATGATGATTATGATGATGATTGTGATGATGGTCAGGATGATGCTGATGATGAGGATGCTGCTGCTGATGATGATGATGATGTTGATGTTGATGATGATGATGCTGATGTTGATGCTGCTGCTGCTGCTGATGATGATGATGATGATGATGATGATGGTGATGATGATGATGATGATGGTTAGGGTGATGAGGATGACGATTCAGATAGTCATGATGATGATGGTGATGATGATGATGATTGTGAGGATAGTGAGGATGATGAGGATGGTGGTGGTGGCTGTGATGCAGATGATGATGAGGATGATGACGATGATGAGGATGATGAGGATCAGGACGAGGACGAGGACAATGACGATTACGTGGATGACGATGGTGATGGTAATGTTGGTGGTGACGATGATGGTGAGTGCTGGCGGTGATGATGACGAGGATGATCAGGATGATGCTCATGGTGACGATGGTGATATGTCTGATGCTGCTGCTGATGAGAATTGATGATGACAGTGATCGTGCAGATGATTAGGGTTATGGCTGTTGATAGTGGTGTGATTTTGATGGTCACGATGATGCTGCTGATGATGGTGATGATGAGGATGATTGTTATGATGACCATGGTGAGGATGGGTCCCCTCCTGGGTTCCCTCCTGGGTCCCCTCCTGGGTCCCTTCCTGGGTCCCTTCCTGGGTCCCCTCCCGGGTTCCTGTTTGGGTCCCTTCTGGGTTCCCTCCTGGATTTCCGTTTGGGTCCCTTCCTAGGTCCAGTCCTGGGTTCCCTCCTGGGGCCCATCTGGGGCCTCTATGGTGCCTCTCTGGGGCCTCCTGGAGGCCGTGGGGGCCGCCCGCCCCCCACGGAGAACAGGTGGGTGGGGGGGGGGACGGAAAATATACAAAATACAAAAACAACACAACAAATCCAAAGAAATCAAAGACCGACGGCTGAAACACCAACACAACCTGCGGAAACACAGAACAAGTAAAACAGCACAACAAAGACTTCACTACTTCCTCCACCCCGGCGCCCCCACCCCCCCAGACTAAGGCGTGACATGTTTTTTCGTTGGTTTTCATTGTTCTGTTTTCCCGAAGGTTCTTTTGTTTTGTTCAACCGTCGGCCTTTGATTTCTTTGTATTGGTTTTGGTGTTTTTTGTTCCCAACCCTCCTGCGTTGGGTTCTCGTTTTGAATACACAGAGCACTGCTCGCGCGAACCTTCCTTCCTCCCTACTTCCTTCCCGTCTCTCTCTTCCCCCCTGCCTTTGACCTCGCCATCCCAGGGGGGTCTGCGATCTGTGAAACTGTTGCCCCTTTCGAGGCCTGCTGGGGGGCCCAGCACAGTGGGTACTCACCGCATACTCAAATTAGACCTCGCCATCCCTGGGGGGCTGCGATCTGTGAAACTGTCGCCACTTTCGAGGGCTGCTGAGGGGCCCAGCACAGTGGGTACTCACCGCGGATTCAAATTAGACCTCGCCATCCCTGGGGGGCTGCGATCTGTGAAACTGTCGCCACTTTCGAGGCCTGCTGGGGGGTCCGGCATAGAGGGTAATCGCGGCAGATTCAAATTAGACCTCGCCATCCCTGGGGCTGCGATCTGTGAAACTGTCGCCACTTTCGAGGCCTGCTGGGGGCCCAGCACAGTGGGTACCTCACCGCGGACTCAAATTAGACCTCGCCATCCCAGGGGGGCTGCGATCTGTGAAACTGTCGCCACTTTCGAGGCCTGCTGGGGGGCCCAGCACAGTGGGTACCCACCGCGGACTCAAATTAGACCTCGCCATCCCTGGGAGACTGCGATCTGTGAAACTGGTCGCCACTTTCGAGGCCTGCTGGGGGGCCAGCACAGTGGGTACCCACCGCGGACTCAAATTAGACCTCGCCATCCCTGGGGGGCTGCGATCTGTGAAACTGTCGCCACTTTCGAGGCCTGCTGGGGGGCCCAGCACAGTGGGTACTCACCGCAGACTCACATGGGACGTCGCCATCCCTGGGGGGCAGCGATCTGTGAAACCTGTCGCCGCTTTCGAGGCATGCTGGGGGGCCCAGCACAGTGGGTACTCACGGCAGATTCAGATGAGACCTCGCCATCCCTGGGGGGCTGCGATCTGTGAAACTGTCGCCACTTTCGAGGCCTGCTGGGGGGTCCTGCATAGAGGGTAATCGCGGCGGATTCAAATTAGACCTCACCATCCCTGGGGGGCTGCGATCTGTGAAACTGTCGCCACTTTCGAGGCCTTCTGGGGGGGGGCCCCATCACCAGTGAATGAGGGAGTAGACAAAGGCCGGACAGAAGAGGGGTTTTACGAAAAATTTAGACCTCTCGCATCCCTGGGGGGCTGCGATCTGGAAACTGACCTCGCCATCCTTGGGGGGCTGCGATCTGTGAAACTGTCGCCACTGTCGAGGCCTGCTGGGGGGCCCAGCACAGTGACGCCACGGGCGGATTCAAATTAGACCTCGCCATCCCTGGGGGGCTGCGATCTGTGAAACTGTCGCCACTTTCGAGGCCTGCTGGGGGGCCCAGCACAGTGACGCCACGGGCGGACCCAAATTAGATCTCGCCATCCCTGGGGGGCTGCGATCTGTGAAATTGTCGCCACTTCGAGGCCTGCTGGGGGGCCCAGCACAGTGACGCCACGCACGGACCCAAATTAGACCTCGCCATCCCTGGGGGGCTGCGATCTGTGAAACTGTCGCCACTTTCGAGGCCTGCTGGGGGGCCCAGCACAGTGACGCCACCGCAGACCCAAATTAGACCTCGCCATCCCGGGGGGGGCTGCGATCTGTGAAACTGTCGCCACTTTCGAGGCCTGCTGGGGGGCCCAGCACAGTGACGCCACGGGCAGATTCAAATTAGACCTCGCCATCCCTGGGGGGCTGCGATCTGTGAAACTGTCGCCACTTTCGAGGCCTGCTGGGGGGCCCAGCACAGTGACGTTAGACCTCGCCATCCCGGGGGGGCTGCGATCTGTGAAACTGTCGCCACTTTCGAGGCCTGCTGGGGGGGCCAGCACAGTGGGTACCCACCGCGGACTCAAATTAGACCTCGCCATCCCTGGGGGGCTGCGATCTGTGAAACTGTCGCCACTTTCGAGGCCTGCTGGGGGGCCCAGCACAGTGGGTACCACCGCGGACTCAAAATTAGACCTCGCCATCCCTGGGGGGCTGCGATCTGTGAAACTGTCGCCACTTTCGAGGCTGCTGGGGGGCCCAGCACAGTGGGTACCCACCGCGGACTCAAATTAGACCTCGCCATCCCTGGGGGGCTGCGATCTGTGAAACTGTCGCCACTTTCGAGGCCTGCTGGGGGGCCCAGCACAGTGACGCCACACGCAGACTCAAATTAGACCTCGCCATCCCTGGGGGGCTGCGATCTGTGAAACTGTCGCCACTTTCGAGGCCTGCTTGGGGGGCCCAGCACAGTGGGTACCCACCGCAGACTCAAATTAGACCTCGCCATCCCTGGGGGGCTGCGATCTGTGAAACTGTCGCCACTTTCGAGGCTGCTGGGGGGCCCAGCACAGTGGGTACCCACGGGGACTCAAATTAGACCTCGCCATCCCTGGGGGGCTGCGATCTGTGAAACTGTCGCCACTTTCGAGGGCTGCTGGGGGGCACAGCACAGTGGGTACCCACCGCAGACTCAAATTAGACGCCGCTTTCGTCCTTGTTCTCCTCCTGCAGTCACCTTCCCTCTGCTGCTGCCGTGCTGATGGTTCGGCTTCCCGCACGTTTTTCTCCTGCTCTGCGTTCCCAATTCCCATGTCCTCTTCGAGCCTGTAGCTGTCGCCCCTCGTCCTTGTATGGTTATCCTGCGCATCATGCCATAGGCGCGTGTCCCAAGTAGCTTACACATCAAGTTGATTGTCCATGCAAGTTTCGGCCAACTCCTCGTTTCCATTGATACAAATGGGTTGGGTACGTCACAGGGTAATTATCATTGTTTTGTTTGTCCTTGCTTTTGTTGTGTGCTCGCTCGCCCTTCGCCTGGATGCTACGAATGCAGAGACAGCGGAGGAGGAGGAGGAGGTGGAGGAGGAGTAGGAGGAGGAGGAGGAGGAGGAGGAGGGGGAGGGGGAGGAGAAGGAGGGGGAGGAGAAGTGGAGAAGAGAGAGCAGAGACAAAAAGAGAAGAACGCAGAGAAGAAAGGAGGTGGAGCAGGATAAGTTCTGCTGCTCCCGAGGAAGAGGAAGAGGAGGAAGATGCGTGAACAAGAGGAGTGGACCAATGAAAACGGTTCCTTCTCGCACCCTCAGAGGGCCGAAGGCCCGCCATATTCATCCAGTCTGAAGCTCTTCGGCCGTTTGGGGCGGTCGGAAACCCGAATATGTTTCGGCCCCCTCGCGCTGTCCAGGAAGACCTTGGAGCTTCTTGAGCCGTCTTGGTGGCCTCTTGGGCCCTGTTGAGGCCCTCTTGGAGGCCTTTGGGGCCGTCTTGAGGCCGTCTTGAGAGGGTCTTGAGTTATCTTGGGCCATCTTGAGCCGTTTTGTTGTCGTCTTGACTGTCTTGGAAGCCGTCTTGGAGGCCATCTTGGCCGCCTGAAGACCAAACAGACCGCCAGAACGCTTTCTCAGAGGGTGCGACTTTCGAACCACGCGCGCGGGGAGGGGAGGCGGGGGGTCCGGTGGGCGGCTTCTGTTTATGATTCGGACGAAGCCTTCAAGGACAGCAGGCGCGCACTCCAGCACGCCCGCTGTGTGCACGCACGGCGGCGGATTTGTGGACGATCCGAGGCCACGGCCTCGTGGCCCTGCCCCGAGTGCGCACGGCGCGCCCCGTGTGCCCGGCTGCGGCGCCCTCGCTGTCGCCCTCGCTCCCGGGGCCTGCGCGTGCGCCGGCCTTGGCGCGCAGGTCCACGACGCTGTCGTCGAGGTCTTCGAGGGCCTCGGCCAGGTCCACGGACGAGGAGCCTCCGTTCGGCGGGCGCGGGCGGGGTCGGGGGCAGGCCGCAGGGAGAGGAGGAGGAGGAGGAGGAGGAGGAGGAGGAGGAGGAGGAGGAGGAGGAGGAGGAGGAGGAGGAGGAGGAGGAGGAGGAGGAGGAGGAGGAGGAGGAGGAGGAGGGAGGAGGAGGAGGAGGAGGGGTGCCAGTGTGAACTCAAGTCCTCCAGGCTCCCTCGTCACAGGCCCCCACAAGGGTTCATCTCCACCGAAGGAACGGCCTCGTTGGGAGACAACCGTTTGGAGACACTGAAGCGTGCCAAAACATCATTCTCGGGACTCCAACGCAACGGATCAGCATGACTGTTGCGTCTTGGCGTTCTGAACTCCTGTTAAAACACAATGCCTGTGACTGCAACACTGCGAATCAAAGTATTTGTTGCGCCCTCACATTCCTGAATCCTTCCAAAACACTGTTTCTGGCACGTTGACTGACCATGGACATCCGTAGAACTCCTCCAATGTTCTATAACGAATGAGCGCGGCACTAAGGCGAGAGCCACATTTCGAAAACGAACCGTTGTCAATCTCTGAAGCTTTGCTTTTTTTCTGTAAACGAAAGTTCGTGGCGCTAAGGCAAGAGTCACATTTCGAAAACCACAGGCCCTCCATGTGTGAAGTCTGTCATTTTTTAAAGGAATGTGCGCGGCGCTGAAGCGAGTGCTACATCTTGAAAGCGTGGTGATGACGATGACGATGATCACGATCATGACGATGATGAGGACGACGATTATCATGGTGATGGTGATGATGATGATGCTGCTGAAGAAGATGATGATGATGATGATGATGATGGCGATGATGATGCTGATGATGCTGCTGATGATGATGATTACGATGACGATGACGATGATGCTGTTGCTGATGATTATGATGATGCTGATGATGAGGATGCTGATGTTGAGGATGATGATGCTGCTGCTGGTTACGCTCATGATGATGATATGATAACCATGATGATGCTGATGCTGATGATTCTGATTATGATGGTGATGATGATAAGTTTGATGATGCTGCTGATGATGCTGATGATGATAATGATACGCATGCTTATGCTGATGCTGCTGACGATGATGACGATGACCATTATGGCGATGCTGATGCTGAGAATGATGCTGATGTTGATGATAATGACTATGACGATGATGCTGATGATGATGATGATGCTGATGCTGATGGCGATGATGCTGATGATGATGCTGATGCTGATGATTGTGATGTTGATGGTGCTGATGATGTTGATGCTGACCATGCTGATGATGCTGATGACGATGATGCTGATGATGATGGTGATGAGGATGATGATGATGATGGTGATGTTTATGCTGATGGTGCTGATGCGGATGATAATGATGACGATGAGGATGATGATGATGATGATGATGATGATGATGGCGTTGCTGCTGATGGTAATGCTGCTGATGATGATGACGATGACGATGATAATGATGAGGAGGAGGAGGAGGCGGATGTTGATGAGGATGAGGATGAGGACGATGATGCTGATGACGACGACGTTGTTGATGATGATGAGGAGGATGATGCTGATGATGCTGATGATGATGATGAGGATGATGCTGCTGATGATGATGATGATGATGATGATGATGAGGCTGATGCTGATGCTGATGCTGATGATGATGATGATGATGATGATGATGATGATGATGATGATGATGATGATGATGATGATGATGATGGTAATGATGATGGGGACGAGGATGATGATGATGATGATGATGATGATGATGATGATGATGATGATGATGACGACGACGATGATGATGATGATGAGAGGATGAGGAGGAGGAAGAAGGAGGGAGGAGGGAGGAGGAGGAGGAGGAGGAGAGGAGGAGGGAGGAGGAGGAGGAGGGGAGGAGAGGCGGAGGGGGGGGGGAGGGGGAGGGGGGGAGGGGGAGGAGGAGGAGGAGGAGGAGGAGGAGGAGGAGGAGGAGGAGGAGGAGGAGAAGGAGGCGGAGGAGGAGGCGGAGGAGGAGGAGGAGGAGGAGGAGGAGGAGGAGGAGGAGGAGGAGGAGGAGAGAGCGCCAGGCTGGCCTGACGGGCTGTCTCGATGCGTTGATTTCTGGACGAGACGAGATACGACGGCGACTCAAGGAAACAGCCGCGCCCGAATCCTTACCGCTGTCGCCCCGGGTCATCTCTTTCGCAATCTGAGGCCCTGGCGGATGGTCAGCCGAAGAGACGCCCGGATGGCAAGTAATCGCGGAAGAACGTGGGGTGCGAATGTGACGATGAGGACGGTTTGGCCCCAGCGATCATTGCGTTCGCTCGGATTGTAAGGAGCCGCGCTGGCCAGCTTTAGTGTCTGCTTTGGAGACTTGCAGTGCGCCATGTGCTTGGTGCCAGATGCTCCGTCTGCCAAGCCAGGGTGCGCACGTGGGACGCCCATGCCCAGGGTCGCGCCGTTTTCCGTCGTGGTTTTGGCTCCTTGTGCCGCGCTGCACCAGGCCGAGAATTTTGTTGCAAGGGCTCGGAACTTTCCAGAGGCCTTTAAGCACGGCGGCTCCCTCTTCGGCGTTGGCCGCAGGTCTCAGCGTGGTGATTGCTGGCCTGACTGGCACACATCCCCACCACAGTGTGGGACGTGCGGCGATTCCAGGCGGCCAACGAGCAGGTCCCAAACTGGGACATGGCATTGTGCTCATTGCCGGCGGGCTGATAAGGGACGGTCTAAACGTTGAAGCTGGCTAGCTGAATCGCTTGGGGTGGATTCCCAGGTGGCCGTGAGCAGGCCGTTGGGTGTCGGATGCGGCGTCCTGGCGCAGAGCGTATAGTGGACCAGAGTTGCAACTACCTCTCTGCGCGCAAGTTTGGCACGATTAGTTCAAGTTCCATGCTGGGGCAATTTCATGGACATCTCGGCGCCGCCTGGCCCTATCAATCGCTTTCAATAGGTGATTGGGGCAAGTCCCCGCTCATGGGCTTCGCGATTGCTGATTTTTCTTCCTTGCCAGCACCCCTGGCTTCTCTTGCTCGTGCACAGTTGCCGTGCTTGTGAATTTGTAATTCCTTGCGGCCCTCGTCCTTTTCCCTCTTTTTGCTTCCCTCCTCCTCCCCCTCCTCCTCCTCCTTCCACTCCTCCTCCCCCTCCTCCTCCTCCTCCTCCTCCTCCTCCTCCTCCTCCTCCTCCTCCTCCCCTCTCCTCATCCTCCTCCTCCTCCTTCTTCTCTTCATCCGCGCACGTGCCTCGGGTCATAGTTTGCGGCCCCCCCTCTTGGAGGCTCCCCTTTTTGTACGCCCCCGGAAGAGGGGGGCGAGGAGTAGGGTTGCTTGGATAGTGGATAGCATGGCCGGCGCAATGATACGCCTCAGACCTCGGGCCGCACCTAACGGGGCTCAGCGCCGACGGGGCTCAGCCAGAGCGCCAGATCTTGCATAGTCCTGCAAGACTGGATTTTGGTTGAGCTGGGATCGGGAGCTGGTCGCGGTCCTGGAGAATCCAAGCCCGGAGAACTTTTGACTTGTTATCTTCTTTCACGAGTGCTTCTGGTCACCCCTCGTCCGCCGCGCACACGTCTCGGACCATGATGCGCTAACCCCCATCCTGGCCCTCCTCCTGGGCACATCCGAGGCGGCCGATTGAAAGGAAACACGCTTGGATGAGTCAGATCGACACGTCGTGGCGGTCCTTGTGGCCGTCGCCGCCGTGCCGCACTGAGATTGGAGGAGGAGGAGGAGGAGGAGGAATAATAACAGTGATGATGGTAATAATACGCAGACTAAGACAATTAACAATAATGACAATAGGAGCAACACTGCTATTACTGATACTAGCAGTAAGACTAATCTACTACCAGCACCAATACTGCTACTACTACTACTGCTGCTACTACTACTACTACGACAGCTACTACTACTACTACTACTACTACTACTACTACTACTACTACTACTACTACTACTACTACTACTACTACTACTACTACTACTACTACTACTACTACTACTACTACTACTACTACTACTACTACTACTACTACTACTACTACTACTACTACTACTACTACTACTACTACTACTACTACTACTACTACTACTACTACTACTACTACTACTACTACTACTACTACTACTACTACTACTACTACTACTACTACTACTACTACTACTACTACTACTACTACTACTACTACTATACTACTACTACTACTACTACTACTACTACTACACTACTACTACTACTACTACTACTACTACTACTACTACTACTACTACTACTACTACTACTACTTCTACAACTTCTACTACTTCTACTACTTCTACGAATACCAAACATAAGACGAACGCACGCACTACTAATACTACTACTGCAAGTAAAACTCGTACTAATAGCAAGACTAAGAGAACACACACTACGACACATGACAATACGACGACTAAGACTACCACTAAGCAATCACACAGTACGACTAACCATATCCATACCATTACTATTGATAATGCGACTAATGTGACTCGTACCAATATGACAAGTGGTAATAGACGAAGTTCTAAGTAGCATCGCACTCGTACTATTGGAACTGCTAAGATGAAAACGATGACGACTAATAATGATAATGACAATACTAATGATAATCATGAGCATGGTATTATCTAGATATACTATTAACATGAATACCAATACTGACCGGAGGAGGAAAAGGAAGATGAGGAGGGTGAGGAGGAGAGGGGGAGGTTGTTCGTTACGATTCGGGCACTCCTGGAACTCCTTGGGGCGAGGAACCGCTGCTAGGGCGCACCCCGAGACAGGAAGACCGCCAGGAGCCGACGAGGACGTCCGTCAACCAGAAGATTGCGCAGGGATTGAACAGATCGACCCGTCGTGACCGCCGTTGGCGGCCGTCGCCGTGCCGCGCTGGGATTGAAGGGAGGAGGAGGAGGTGGAGGAGGAGGATGAGGAGGAAGAGGAGGAGGAGGAGGAGGAGGAAAGGAGGAGGGGGAGGAGGGGAGGAGGAGAAAGAGGAGGAGGAGGAGGAGGCCGAGGAGGAGAGGGAGGAGGAGGAGGTGGAGGAGGAGGAGGGGGAGGAGGGGGAGGAGGAGGAGGAGGAGGAGGAGGATACTGAATAATATTAGCAGTCGTAACTATCAAGAATAGGGACACGACACACACGAATAATAAGACGACTAAACTACAAGTAACACAAATAACACGAGGGGGAGGAGGGGGAGGAGGAGGATGCGGAAGAGGAGGAGGAGGAGACGGAGGAGCACGAGAAGGGGGAAGAGGAAGAGGAGGAACAGGATGATGACGAGGAGGAGGAGGAGGAGGAGGAGGAGGACAAGGAGGAGGATACATACTATTAGCAAGAGAAGACGCACACCAATAATGAGACAACTGAACTACTAACATGAAGAAGAACAGGAGGAGGAGGAGGAGGAGGAGGAGGAGGAGGAGGAGGAGGAGGAGGAGGAGGAACGCCCGCATTGAACACCTCGACCCGCCGTGGCCGTCGGCCGCGCCGCTCGCGCGCGCGCGTAGAACGCCAGGACGTGGAGTCGCGCACGCCCAGCGCCAAGAGCGGGGCCGCCGCCGCCGCGCAGGGCCGCGAGGGCGCGCCCGCGGCCGGCGGGAGCGCCCTCCCCCCCCCCCCCCTGCACAGGGGCGCGACTTTTGGGAGCCGCGGGGGGAGGGGAAGGGAGAGCGAGGAGGGGGAGGATGAAGAAGAGGAGGAGGAGGAGGAACAAGAGGAGGAGGAGGAGGAGGGGGAACGAGAGGAGGAAGAGGAGGAGGGGGAGGAGGGGGAGGAGGAGGAGGGGGAGGAGGAGGGAGAAGAAGAGGATTCTTCAAGTTCGTCTTCTTATTTTCATTAATATTTCGTATGATGTTCATTATTCTCATTCGTGCTAGACGCTCTATCATTATTATTATTATTATAATTCGTATGATGACGCTGTTGCTGATAATGGTGATGCCGATGCCGATGCTGGTGATGAGCCTGATGATGTTTTCGATTGTGATTGCTATTGTTAGGATTCGTGCTATCCTTTTATTTTGATTATTGTTGTTCTTGTCGTTGCGATTGCTACGACTATGATGATGGTGATGGCGAGGGTGACGATGTTACTGATGCAGATCACTCTTTGGTTTACTAGTGTTCATAAGAGTTGTTGTTGTTTTTGAATGTTTTTATGTTTTCTATTTCGTCGTAAAAGGATTCCTGCGATTGTTGTTACCACCATCCTTCGTGTTACTACTATTACTAGTCTTATTCGTGTTATTGCTCGCATTACTTGCATGCCCGTATCCTACTCGCACTACCATTGTTATTATCAGCATGACCACTATTACCCTCATCAGCAGCACCATCAATTGTATTCGTATCAACTTTATTATTCGTATATTGTTACTGATCTGGTCATTACGATCATTATTACGACAATGTTAACCATTGTCATTCGTTATATCCCTTGCTATTGCGAGGAGAATGAGGAGGAGGATGAGGAGGAGGAGGAGGAGAAGAAGGAGGAGGAGGAGGGGGAGGAGGAAGAGGACGAAGAGGAGGAGGAGGAGGAGGAGGAGGAGGAGGAGGAGGAGGAGGAGGAGGGTGAGGAGGGGGTGGGGAAAAGGAGGGCGAGTGGGGAAAGGAGGGAGGAGGAGGATGAAGAGGAGGAGGAGGAGGAGGAGGAGGAGGAGGAGGAGGAGGAGGAGGAGTAGGACCGCCCCAGTTTGAACCTTTTTGGCGGGGGCTCTGGCTTGTGATTCCCTGTGCCGTGGGGCAATCCTTCCAGAGGGCGTCCAGACGCATTCTTTCCGGGCCAGGCACCCCCAGTGTCCAGCATTCCGTGTAGATTTACCCGTTCACGTGAGCGTTACGTTGCGGGATGGCCCGAGGCGGCGTGAGTGGCAAAGGGCATGGTATCGAGGTCAGGAGCCAGATCGCCTGTCCTGCGCCCGGGCGCAAGAAGAGCCCTTATACATTCCCATGCGTGCTGCCAATGCAAGTCCCCTTTTCGTGGTCTAGCTGCTGCTGGTCCTCCTGCCCCCGTGTTTTTTGTAAGCTGCCCTAGGCTCGTGAAGGGGCATGAGGTGGAAGCCACGACTGCGGCGGTGGCGGCCAGACTCGGGCGACAAAATGTCGGGGTTTCACCAAGACCCATACCTTCAGGAGCCATGGGCGAACTTCATCGGATCTTCTTCCACTTGTCGGTGGGTAAGTTCGAGGATGTGGTGCCGACGGCGGCGCGTGACAGCATCAGCGCGGTATGGGGAGCAACTCACGGGGAACTTTTCTGGGCACTACTTAGCCAGGTTCTTTTCAAACTTGAGCGACATGATGACCGTCGGGCCAAGCGAATTCAAGTCGATCAGCTCAGTCAACAGAGGAATTAGCTTGATTTTCCATTCAGAAGGGAAAGGAAACTGCGGACGCAGCCAGGCGCCAAGCAGCTGAGAGAGTCGCGGTTCTGCCAAAGGGTCCGACGGCGGTAAGTTCAAGGCCAGTTCGGTGACTTTGAGAATGTGATGGCGCGTATGCAAAGCAGCGAGCTTCGTGACGAATGGCAGTCCAAGTTTCATGTTTTTTTTTTTCTGGGCGCGTTCAAGCCCTCTTCTCCTGAGCCACGGCCACCACTACTACCAAAGCCTGTTGGGTACTATGACGCAGGTTTGAGGAGGGTCGCGCCGTCAGTGCTGCCGGGTCTTTGGCCCCAGGTGAGGTCCAAGCATGAGGTCGCATGGAGGTGGATGGTGCAGATTTGCTTGGAGCGTGTGGTTCCATCGAGGACGTCAGCGAGGCCACCAGAAGGTCCATTGTGGAGGTGATCAAGTCGGCAGCGAAGAAACCGAGGTTTCGCTGCAGGACCCTCAGGTAATACATTCAGCTGCATTGCTCTTCCATGCAGCAAGAGCGGAGGAGCTCTCAGCGCGGAGGGCTCTGCTCAGGAACGTGCCAGCACAAGGATCTGCCCATTCGTTCTAAGCTTAAGTGGGGCCTGTCCCTCTACAGGAGGAATATTAGTCAAACCTGCTCAGGGGACGATTATTTTATGTTTTTCGCTATCCTCGAATATCTTATCTTTAAATCTTCGACGAAAATCCGCCTGTAGGAGGACGCGCTCGACCTAATTCTTTGGTTCGTGGTTTTCGGGGTCACTTTCGCCTTCGAATTTGTCGTCTTTGGACTCCCACCTGCGGACCTGGGAGGCGCAACGGGTCGAAGGGGGGCGCTTCTTCTGCGGGGCCATGCCCAGCGTCGGCGACATCGTCGAGAGTGACTTCCACGACCTGGACTGGTTCAACCGCGCGTGAGGGTGGTTACGGTGCGATGTATGTATTTGACCGGAATCGCATATTCCCCAGCAGGCACTCTTCGTTAAACCTGGCTCAAGCAAGTGGGCTGGCTCAAGCTATATTCGAGTGCCGTGCGGATACGCGGGCACACGAAGATGAGCGACAACAGTGACAAAAAGAAGGGGGTTCGGGCTGGAGGTTTAACCGGCTCAACGCCTGAGAGACAGAAACCCAAGGTCGCGCGTGCACTTCAAGATGTGGGCATGTCGAGTGAGGAGGGTGAGAACGGGCGTGTTGAAGGAGCGTCCTCCGGAGTGGTTTGTTCAATTCGCGAAGGGGCAAAACAAGAAGCTCGACAAAATCATCGGCAACATGGCCGAGATGAGCACCAAGATCGAGGAAATAAAGGAGAAGACGGAGGACATGGATGACAGGTTGAACGACGTGGAGGTGGAGCTAGGAAACGTGAAGAAACTAGTTTTCGAGGACATGGTAATTCAAAGAAACATGAAGAGCATGATGGAGGAGGCTATGGAGAGCACGTTGAAAGAGGAGGGGATGAAGGACAACATGAACAGGGTCATGGAGGAAATGGTGGAGGAGAGGATGAAGAAAAGGGGCATCATCCACGTCGGGCTCCAAACAAACACCACCAGCAGATGATTTCGCAGAATCTGCACAACGTTCGAAACGGGTTCTCGCTTTTGGCTTTGAGAAGCGCGCGGCGGCCGCCACCATCGCATCGCAGTTGGAGGACGCGGTCAAGAAGCTCACGGGGAAAGATCGCGGCATCAGTATCTCCCCCACCATGGGTCCTTCAAGAATGGGGCTCCTATCCTTCCAATCGGCGTTCAAAAAAGTGGACCTCTACAAAAAGATCCGGGACGCCCCGAATGCGAATGGAAGCTATATTTTGGGAGACATATTTTTCCGCAACAGCATGGCGAAAGAAGAACAAGAGAAGGAGAAACGATTGGGGTACGCGAAATATCACCTTTCAGAGAAGATCAAAAACAAAGGGTGGAACATAATTTGGCCGAAAAGCATGGTGGTCATCAAGGGCGCTGCTGGGAAGGAAAGGAAGGTGGCATGGTGCAGCGAGCAGGGGGAATGGTGCACATCAGCATCCGCAACAACAGTGCAAGCGGACGCAGACGCATCAATGGCGAAGTGGCTGAAGAAAAGGTCACCCGACCCGGGCGCAGAGAGCGAGTGACCAGTGGAAGCCAGGGGGGGGGGGGCACAGAGGGGGAGAAGAGAAGGAGGAGAAGGAGGACATGTATTTGTTCAAGCACGTTCACATGAAGGTTGCACCGTCTGCAGATCAAGAGGGGGAGGGAGGGGGAAGTATTGCGACATTCCTGGTGACTTTCCGGGTCGCCTGCCTGTCGCGCCTGATTCTCGGCAGGGTTCTGCGCCTACGGTCGAGAAAGACATTGCTACGCAGACGGCGGTGGCCAGAGACACGATTGCGACGCTGGGTACTGCGCGGGATGCGCACGCCGCAGGAGGGGCGGAGGAAGTCAACATTTATGCAGCAATGGAGCGGGGCGGCGTTGTGGAGTTGAATTGTTTGTTGAAGAACGTGATGTCTATAAAAAGTGAGACTTGTGAGCAGCTGCTGCTGGAGGAGCTGGATTTGCTGCGCTGGGACATCGTCGCTCTGAATGAGACGTGGCGGGAGGAGCGCAGAGAGCTCGGGGCCATTTCAGGACATTTATTTTTAGGCGCAGGCGCGGGGCCGGGCAGTCGTGGCGCTGCATGTTCACTTCGCAAACGGTGCGTCAAGAGTTTCCGCGCTTTCCATCCAGCGTCGGAAAGACTATGTGCAATTGATTTGCCTGCGGCGGGACGGCGCGTCGCAATCATAGCTGCATATATGCCAGCGTCGTGGGGCGAGGAGGTCGAAGTTGAGGCTGTTTACGCAGCTCTAGACCAACTATGTGCGCAAGGTCACGGGCGTAACCGCACAGTATTACTATTTGGTGACTTTAACGCTGTCGTCGGCGCGCCCGGGCCAGGCGACGATCTTCAAGTTTTGGGCAAGCATGGGGTTGGAGCGAGAAACGACAGAGGCCAACTACTCGCACAGTGGGCGTCCGTGAATACGCTGAGGATCTTAAACGCGATATTTAGGAAACCTTTTGAGAAGCAGTGGGCTCACGTACAGGACAACGTGGAGCGGCAGATCGATTACATTTTGCATGAAAAGAGGAAATGGTAAATTTCCGAAAGACTGCGAAGCCGGCTACGACATCACTTTTGGTGCAGATAATCGTTCGGCGAGGTCTGTCTTTCGAGTGGTTGCCCACGCCGAGATAAAGAAACGCCCGAAACATGCCGC